AAAAGTGAAAAAAATGAAAAATGTATGATTTATTACACGATTTATTGAATGACGGAATAGGCGGAACTAACGTTATTCATCCTTCTAGTCGGACCCATTAGAGCGGTGCACTCAGGACCCATTAGAGCGGTGCACTCACTTTCACTGTCCGGCTGAAGCGCGCGTAAAACAAACACTTTTCATCTCGGATCATCAGAGGCTGTTGCATCCAAGAAAGACTGATTGAAACCTACGTTTCGAGAGACTACCACGATAATTGAAGGTGAAACTATTGTATCTGTGTAATTGTAGATGTAAAGTAGAGATGTAACTGTTCATTGCCTTTATTTTTATATAAATATGATATGGTGTTAGTGCAAAAATTGTACTATAACTTAAGCTGAAGCTAACAGTAATAACTAATGAGATATATCTGAAATAAATAAGTGTACTGAAACAAATACCAATAACTGTATTGCATTGTTTTCTTATGCGCAATTACTTCATACTGTCTAGTTCTCTTTTTCGTCCTGCATGTACTGTGCCCCCCTCAGAAAATAACTGGCCCCCCAGTGGCCCCCCCAGTCAATTTGGTCTAGAACCGCCACTGGGCTAGTGTGTTGGTGTTCGGATCAGGGGAGCACAGGTTCAAACCCCACTGCAGTCAGCAGAATGGAAGTCGCTTTGAATAAAAGCGTCTAACAATGTAATGTTTACGTTACATCAACGTATTTCCCTTCTGACAGAAAGCAGCAGGAGGTATTTAAGATATATCACATGCCAGGAGGCATTAGAGGCCGACCAACAGTGGCATGCATCTGCACTGATGAAGACTCTCACACACACTAGAGTGTTCTCTAGTTCACAGCGATGCCAGAGACAAAGAGACAAAGTAGGCTAGTCCTTGGATAACAGCCGGTTTACTGCTGAAAGGCTGCATTTCACGCGTTTGAGAAGCGTTCAAGTCAAGCTCCTAAAATGTCTCCTTAACGGAGCAGATGTTTGGTTACCTTTTACGCCGAGCAGATCTGATTCCCACGGAAATTGAGGTTAACTGTCAGAGAAAAGCATTCAAGGAACAGGTGGTGGCGCTCAGGCTGGAAGAGGGATTCACACTTCTTCCATCCAAGAGTCCTTTTTTTTTTTTTACCAGTCACCTATCTACCAGCCTACAAGAGAAACGGAGCCATAGAGAGGCGGACGACAGAAATATTTTACTGCATGACTGAAACCCTGAAGCTGTCCAGTCGAATTCAATCGTTACTTCTGTTAACAGGTACAAATTACCTCCAAAAAGGATAAATTAGCAACAAACACATCACATATAATGGCATTTTTAACCAGGAAGTGGCCGTATTTTTACTTTCTGGCTGATTTGGACGAATTGAGGGTCGAATTTAACGTGTTTTAGGAATCAAAATAAATTATTTGGCCGATTTGCATAATTAATGTGTGTTTTTTTAGGTATATTGAGGATGTTGAATCAATTTCTGACTTTTTCAGGACCAGAAATGGGAGTTTTGGGTCTCCTAAAACTTAGAAATCGTCCCAAAATTCATCAGAATCAGCCAAAATGTCCACTTTCTGGTTAAAACTGCAATTTCTTATCCTGAAAAAGTCAGAAATTGATTCAACCTCCTCAATATACCTCAAAAACTACTCAAAAACTGTCCAAATCTGCCAAGCCATGTAATAGCCATTGTCTGCATATGCAAATTAATGCAACTTATGCCAAGTGTGCAAATTGCCCAACATATGCAGGTTAGCATCCGGCAGTTTCTATGTGCCGGGGACCCGTACTCTACATCTCGATCATAAAACTTAAGTAGACTAATTATTAAACACTGAAGAATGATCAGTGAAATCTCCTCTAGCAGCTCAGATCTCTCAGTGCAGTCTTCACTGGGATAGATGACCATAAATGACTTTTAGGGTATTATTAGCAAACAGATTGAATTAGTTTAGGAGTCTTTTATAGAAAGGGCCTGGGGTAATGTTATCATCACAGCCAGATTCTTACAGCAGTGAAGATGTGTGAGTCACTGAGAACATTTCAAATCAGTGTCTTACGTTGACACATATGCAAGTGTTTCTACTAGCAAAGGCCGACATTAAGGATGAGTCATATCCACGCATCGGCAGGACAGATGTGAGAGATATGAGATGAGAATCACTATTTGGACGGTTTAGTGGTGATACAAAGTGACAGGGGGGTCCATTCAGCTTTCTTGCGGCTTTTCAACACTCACTGATCCACTGACTTCATCTGGACTATGATGCTAAATCCATGCAAAGATTAGAAGGGCACATGGAGAGCTCATTTAAAGGGTATTTAAAAAACCCTATGATAATCAAATGACTGCAACAGGATCTCCAAAGGTCTAACATTTAGAGGTAAAGAGTTCTCACACCTTAATGAGACACAGCTCTCATTACTCGAGTAAACCTCACTATCGACCTGAGAGAGGAGTCTCTCGCTTCGCCGTCTTTTCAGACACCAGAGCCGTGTCTCTACTTTAAAGAGTCCTCTCCTGCTGATGTTCAGGTGTATATCAGTATGTAGTGTCTCTACTTTAAAGAGTCCTCTCCTGCTGATGTTCAGGTGTATATCAGTATGTAGTGTCTCTACTTTAAAGAGTCCTCTCCTGCTGATGTTCAGGTGTATATCAGTATGNGAAGTTGTCCGTCCATCCGTCAGTCGGACGGGCGGACTGACGGACCCCCCCCAAAACGAAAACTCTTTGGTTCTTCACGAATTACACAAGTCACCCAAATCAGCGTTAAAAAAGCGGGAGGCGCCGAAAAGCGACTAATTTGCATCACTGTAATCAGAATCAGAATACCTTCAAATTCACCTTCATTTATTAAGGTGTTGGATGAAGTGTCTCATTGCATTTGGGAAACGCTGTTTAAACGGCAAGTGTTTTTAATGTTCTGTAATTTAATTTAAATCAAGCTTTTCATAATGTGTAAACTACACAATGTAGATTTCCTTTGTGTGAAGCATATTTCACAGAGTTTCAAAGATATAGCAGGTGTCAGAGAGTGAAACTGACAAATAACAAACGCATGGTTTCTTAATGTACTATTCTGCTGTCATTTGCTCTTTGGGGATCATTTTAGGAAATGTGGGTTTTGCCTTTTGTAATTGTCCACACAAACAGCAATACATCTCCCTATTCCTGAGAGCCCTTTAATCAGCACTTTGTTTCCTTGTACAGGTTTTTCTACTCAGCCATGGATTGAAAAATGGAAATCAAACTACAAGGCTAATACAAAGAAAGGAAAAACATTTAAAACGTATTCTAAAAAAACATTACATTGGGCCCTCAGCTTTACATCAGTGGCTGTTGAACTCACTGAGGTACTCAGAAACTGGGGCTCCACGTTTACGCAGCTTTTTATTTGCCCCTATATCAACACAGAGAGGAAACAGAGGCCTCCCTGAACTAATTTCACTCATGAACACTCAGTCATTTGTTGAGCAGCACACAGCAGGCCCCGCTGTCCGAGCCCGAGGATTAGGGCTCAATATTTGTAAACCTTAGTTGGCTTTAGTGCGGAAATGGGGAGTGGAGAAAAATGGGAAGCCTTGGCAAAGCAAAGTGTGAAAAACTATCAAATTGTCAGCCATGACAGAAACAGTTACACACACTGGCTTTTGGCTGACACTGAAACAATGCACTGTTAAACACTGTTAGCCTGTTAGCACGAGTGAATGTGAGTTTAAAGGTGTCGCAACTTGATGAATGTATATGCAATTTATAGTAGAATCAACTTTTTCTAGTAACAGACCTTTCTTGACTTATTGATGATATAGTACGTCTCTTATCTGTTTATAATAACCGGAATCATTTGCTTTACCGTTTAAGCCTTTTACATTGAGGCCAAACCCCTTAACTTCTCCTAAAGTCTTTAACCTCTTCTCAGTGGAATATTATCAGGCCCATAAAGTAGTAAAAATCCCAGGGCCTTACTTCCAGCTGTGACACAGAACCCAGGCCTCCTTAAGTCCTCTACTTTGACCTTTGTTTGAAAAGTCTCTTTCAGCCCGAGGCCTCGGCAGTAAATTCATAGAGCTATGAAATGAATGTGCCGGAGAGCCCATCCAGTCTTTCATTAATCACGAGCAGAGAAAGAAAAAGACAGGTAACCCAGACATGTATTATTTTACTTTTTCTTTTTTGTTGCGAATGGGCAGATTGTGTAATGACTGGCCTCTATTGTAACCGTGTTCCGCCTATCAGCTTCCTCTCTGTGTTGAAATAGAGAAGGTAGAGTTCAAGTGTTCACGGGATCTGCTCCGGCTAAATAAGTCCTCAAAGTTGTGACGACTGAGAGACAATTTAGGCAGCCAACTTATGATTGAGGGCCGCACAGGAAAAGTTCACAGATATGACAAAAGAACCTGACGGACCCTCAATGGGGGATGCGGAAGTAATCATTTACTTAAAATATAATGCATGCATTTTATGTGACGTTCAGGTGCCGCAAGAATTACTCTGGGGGCTCCACTTCCAGAAACTATGGCCCTAACACTTTAACCTCTTAAACTATTACTTTTTAAATAATTTTGTTTTGACATTATATACTATGAATATTGTAAACCTAATTCTGCAGACATATTTATACAGACTGGGTCTTTAGGTACCCCAAAAATAAACTACTGGATATCGCCATCATACCAGATGTTAACTTATTTCCTCTCACAACTTGATGTTATGTACCGGTACTAATAATCCTCTAAGAAAAACAAATAAACGGTTGATTTGCATACTGTTACATATTAAAACTTCATAGACTGAAATGGGCTGAAATGATGACAACAGTTTAGGGTCTGCAAGTACCCCAGTGGGCAGAACAAGGGTTAGTTATATTGTATTATGATATTATATTCTATACTATGACTTATTTATAACATAAGCAGTTTTATGGCAGGCACCATATTTTTGAAGGCATACTAAATAAGATGCTATGACATTTTTTATGACGTATTATACTATGACTTTTTGATGGTGTACTATACTCTGAGCTCTTTTCTGAAATTAGTTTTGGCAACCTATACTATGGTAACCTTTGACCTTTTTAAAGGCTTTTTTTTTTTACAACATAGTAAGCAGAGTGCTCTCAAAGTTTGGATATCTGAGAGGCAATATAGGAAGTCTGCATTCTGATTGAGACTCGAACAGGAAAGTGCAAACATGAAACAACATATCTGTATCTCACTTCCTCATTAAACTAGAGTCAAACACCCAAACCTGTAGCTTTAGCTTGTGAGGTGACACTAGTTGCTACCGGTAGCTTTCCACCAGTTGCAGTTCCTGACCTAACAGTTGCTTGATAATGGCTACGGTTTGACCCAGTAGCAAAGTAGTGTATTTCATTTAAAATATTGAGTGTATTGCCAAGAAACACGGATGATACCATTTTATGCAAGAA